GTATAATTTACAGTGAATAACCGTAAATTGACATTCCCAGAATTCCCTGTGTTACATTTCAAATTTGATGTTTTTTTGTTGAAATAACTGTTTCTTCTTAGTTTTTTCTTATCCGTTTTGTATATTAGGGTTACACCTTATGTTGTTAAATGAATGTTTATTGCATTATTTCAGTTTCATGTGTGTTACCATGATGGTGTTTAGTGTTTGTGTGAATGACACTGTGCACCTTCTATATATGTTATTATTTAAAAGCTGCTTGTGATGGGCTTTGGTTCATCGTGTGACTTTCTCATCACCACCTGCATTTGGTGGTTATCAGTGTATTACAAAAGGTACAAAACAGATTTCAGTACTTCAATAGGTTGGTATATTAACATTATATCAGTTAATGAAATTACGGTATTTAACTGTAAATTTAAGTTAAAACCTAAAACTTTGCTACCGTATTTTTTACGGTAAAATTCCGGCAACCACAGCTGCCGGTTTTTTACCGTAACCTTTACGGAATTTTTTTTACAGTGATGTATGCCACAGAGACAATCAACCTACACATACTCAACACCGGGTGCTGCTTAGACTAGTCTTACAACTTGCCTTACAAGTCATCTAATTTTTTTTTTCATTAAGACTAACAAATTAATGTAGACTGGTCTAATTTGAATCCGAAAAGTAAGACTGATTACCCCTTGAATAACTGCTAGTTGGTGAGAAGAGTTGTTAACACAGAGTCTTGACATAGTAACTTTGTTTATGTGACCGGCCCCAGGAATAGAGACCTGGTTTATTAGCAAGCAAAGATGCTCATAAAGGTGAAAAGCACAGGATGTTTCACATGGTGTTTATCTCGGGCTGTGCTGACATCACACCTGATGTCGACCTCCTTATCACGAGTCAGCACATGGACTGATTGGACTGTTGACATGGAGGCTGTCAGGCAAACAACATTCAAGGCTGACCTGCCTGCTAAACCTAACAGCAGACCCTTATTTACTCTGAGAGACCACATGAAAAAGTTCATCTGCTATCTGCTCCATTCTGTCATGCCCTGCACTGATTACAAAAGGAGAGACGGACAGGTTTTCAGCTCAGTCTGAATCTGTGTAAAGTCTGCCACCTACTGCTTGGCATAAGAAGTGGCACAAAACAGACCGGTTTCATTTTCCCATTAATATCCAAACATGACACTCTTGTTTTATGTCCGTATGTTCCATAAAAGACTATGAGTGTGACCACCAAACAGTGAGTCTTCAGCACTTATCTGAAAGCACTGTGAGTCCACAAACCCTATTATCAAATGAAATTTGCATTTCAAGTGGGTCCTCGTTCCCTCTGGATGGCATAAAAACAAAACAGAATTAATAACATGGCCTTGTTGCGAATGAAAGTGCTAGTTAGGCAGCTATTTGTGGTAAATACACTGAAAAATTCACCATGGTAACAATTTCCACCAAAATACCAACTTAATTTCATTTAATTTAAATCATGTTTATGTTAACTAATATTTGTTTTGTTTTGTTTTATTTTATTTTATGTATTAAGGTAGATAAGTATGTTTTTTAGTTATTTATATTTTATGTATGGTAGCTAAAGCTTTATTTTTGTTGTATTTTATGTATGATTTTAGCTATTAAGTATGTTTTGTTTCATTTAATGCATGATGTTAGCTTATGTGTATGTTTTATTTTTTTATTTTATGTATGACGGTAGCTTATATCTACGTTTTATTTTATTTTTGTTTCATGTATGATAGTAGCTAATAGGTATGTTTTATTTTATTTATTTATTGCTAATGTTGTGTATTATGGTAGCTAAAATGTCTGCTTTATTTCATTTTTGTTTTATTTTATGTATTATGATAACTAATATGTATGCTTTTTGTATGATGGTAGCTAATATATACGTTTTATTTTATTTTTGTTTGTTATGTATGATGTGAGCTTAAACAGTATGTCCGTTTTATTTTATTTTATTTACCCAAATAACATTTTCTAAAACAAATTAGCTGTGATTGTTGCTCATTAGTCAGCTGCCACATTTAAGACTTTTAACTTTCATCATGGCTAACAAATGTTCTGAATGTTCCTCCTTCTTCCTTAAAACTGCATGTTGTTTGACCAGTTAGATGAAGTGAGTAACACGGTAGACAATGAGCCGGTTAATCACAAACCAGTGTGTTTTTACTTGTTGAGTGACAGTGTGACTCATGAAGGCAAACACAATGGACACCGGTCAGAGGTCCCTCTCCGTTACACTCAATTCACTTCAGTTCAGCACATCTGAAGAGACTCCGAATGAGCTCTGACTGTGTCAGTCTAGTGCTGACTATTGTGGGTAGTTGTGTGTGTAACGATAAAAGGTTAAAAAGGGTTGAGTCTTTCCCGCATGTCCGCATCAGCTGGTCTGAAGCTCTTCTGCCACATCAGAGCAGCATTTGACCCTGTCACTCATCAATTAACCTCACTCTGTATTTGATGTTGCCACAATGTCATATGCTTAATGCAAACAGCATGTGTGACAGAGCATATTAATTTAAAAAGGATGGATACAAATATTTATACTTCAAAAAAAGCAATGGCTTATAACAAACAGATGTTACAGCATCTCACTGTCAGGATATCAGTCTGCAATTGGAAATGATTGTACTCAATCTGTAGCTTTTCCCTTTTGTGAAGAATATGTACATTTAATCTAATCATCACAACAATTCTTGAGAAAAATATGTAATATAATAGAATATAATAGAATGTAATGTAATGTAATATAATATAATATATGGCATTTTAAAAATACATAAACCACTTGATTTGATTCCATTTCTACCCCTTTTCTCTCCTTTTATTGTGAAAGTGAAAGTGAAAAAGTGAAAGTGACGTATGGCCAAGTATGGTGACCCATACTTGGAATTAGTGCTCTGCATTTATCCCATCCAAAGTACACACACACAGCAGTGAACACACACACACCGTGAACACACACCCGGAGCAGTGGACAGCCTGTGGTGCAGTTCCCTCCCCCCACCTACAATCCCTGCCGGTACGAGACTCGAACCCACAACTTATTGTTAAGTTGTATAACAACATTGTTGTTATTTTTTTAAACAACATTGGCTGATTAATCAGTTTTTATAATATAATATATATAATATAATATAATATAATATAATATAATATAATATAACAGTTGTGTGTCCAATCAAAATCTACAATGTTTTTGGCACAGACTTATCCGTCACTTGGAAGAAATTCGCCAGATTAGACAAATACCAACATGACATGCCCTCAACATCGAAAAATCTGAACAAAACTACTCAAAAGAAGATACGACCCAGTTCTGGACTACATTAATACAGGTTTAGATGCAGATAAACATTCAAAAAGGCATTTATGAACCAAACCCTCAAATTATAAAGACAAGCCTGCTGAGTTATTCAAAAGAAGGCATCAGGATCTCAACCTAATTAAGCCTCAAATAATTATGTACTTCGCTACAAAGTCACTATACAAAAGCGCATAATCAGTCAGATTCTGATGTCATTTTTTTATAACTTCAGTATTTTAGCATATAGGATATAATGACACAGTCAAGTAGAGTACAGACTCTGCCAAACACATCCACCGGTTTCACAGCATCAGGCATCACTGCAATGAAAAACCACACAACCACCTGATGGGAATTTTTCAAACATTCACTCTGTCCTGAGAGAGTCGCCTTCTTCAAGGAACTGTCATCATCTTCCCATACCACAGTGGCAATTATTCTCACACATTCAATAACTGTAATTCAAATAATATGTCAGTGTAACATCTCTTACCTTACGGCTTCACTGTACAGTACGTTTCTTCGTACTGCCGTTGAGAAATGCGGGCTACGGATCCGTGTGCGATCCTAAGAAACAATAGGATGTGTTTTTTCCTGGATTACACTTGCATCCTTTGGCGTGCTTTCCCAATGAAACACAAAGTCCACTTGGAGGAAACAGGAAGTTTTCTCGCAGGGCAGGGAAGCCCTCGGCCAATCAGCGGTTTTCAATTCTGTTAACCCGAGGAAGTCTTACTCATTCACAAAAGTTATCGAAAGCTGACCTAACTCTGAAGTCATATTTCTGATATGGCACACAATGACAATGTCAAAACAATGTTCAAAAACCCAATATCATCCAGTTAAATGAAGCAGTTCAACTAAACGGATGCATTATGAAAGCATGGCTCTCTGGGAGTAAACACACACGTACTCTCTGCAGTCCTCAAACTCATTGTCCTGTCGCACATGCTGGGTCACGAACAAGTGTCACACTGACTCATCGATCCTGCGTAGCCCTGACTCAGAATGATACACTCATCACTCCTCCAAACACAGCCGACTGATGAAAAACTACATCCATTTCTGGCACAAAGCGCTTCCTGTTTGGAATGCGAGCATCTCTGCTGCTTCTCTGCTACAAAGACTCAGCCTCAGGGTTGTATCTTGCCATCTCTCTCTCTTTCTCTCTCTGCGCCCTCTTTTGCTTTTTCTCTCTCTATCTGCCAGTAAATGGACCCGTTGTCTGGGCTCCTGCTCGGCGTGAAATATTAGCTCTCTCCTACAGCAGTAGCTATCTGGGCCATTAGGAGGATGAAGCTATCAGATATGAAGAACAAATTCGGTATGTGGATGATAAAGACTCTGATAAAGACTCCTGATGCTGCAAATACGACTGTGTGTGTGTGTGAGGGCTGTAAAAGCAGTGGCAGAATGATAAGGCTGTAAATAATCCAGGCTTAGTCTATCTGAAGTGTGGGTTTTGAGGTTAAACGCTACTGTTTGGCTTTGACATCACTTTTAAGTTATAAATATTGCTATTTTGTTCACACTTTAGTTGACATTAAATACTTTTGTGAAACCGACATGCTACAGACCTCATGCAGTGTGGCGCCATATTTAATTTTTGAGGGGAATGAAAACGAGGCTGTGAGGGACAGAAGTACATGAGCTCAATGGATTGTACTGTTGTTTAACAACATGCCAGTTGTTCAACTGATAAAACATCCTTACAAAAGACTTCTAGTAGACAAAAACTTTATAAAACATTACTGAGAGCTGTGAAAATGATGTGATAGGACTTTTATACAGTGCAAGCCATTGTAAAGACTGTAAGTCTATTCCTCAGACTTGTTTGAATTTGCATAAATCCACATAGAACTGATCAAATGTAAATGTGTGCATTGAATGCACAAATGTAAAATTCAATATGGGTTCTACTGAATAAAGGCCAACTCACACCAGGAATGATAACACTAGGCGCGTTTCTATTAACCTTCAAATTGCACAAATTGAAATTGAAAATTGAAAATACGCCTAATTGAAACGCGTCAATTTCACAAAAACGCCCATATATCGCCAAAAAAGTTTTTACGCTCGCATGAGGTGGTTTTTCAGGCAATGCGAAAAAGGAATCATTCACAAAACTGCAATGGAAACGTTTTTTTCGCATTTACAGGTCACATGGCGTATGTAAAAAGTCATATGATCATTCTTCGATGTACTATGTACTCCAAGAAACACTTCATACGTGGCCGCTCTCCAGTATAAGGGGCGAAGCGGCTCTCTGTGCTGCTTCTGTAAAGATACACGCATACGCCTCCTTTGAATAAATATAGCCAAAATCTGTTAAGATCCCACCAAAATCCGTTGCCATGACTTGTCGCGAGAGGCAAAAGATTACATTTTAGTTGCATAACATTGGTTAATGGAAACACCGTCATTCCACAATACTTTTTTATCAACATTTATGAAATATCACCAAAGTTTTGTGAAAATCTGTAATGCAAACGCGCCTAATAACTATCAGCATCCACACCAAGGCACCATATTGCTTTGTTTATTATAAGCATGCACTGGAATTATGTCACCGGGTACTTTAAATGCTCAAGCTATTTAAAGTGAGATGGATTCTGATTGGCTGTCAATGTTTTTAGAGTTCATCAGCTCGAAAAAAAATCATACTAAAAGTGATTCCTACGATATCGTTAATCGTTATAGTTGTGGTGTGAACTCTGCTATTCTTTAACATTTAGAACGATTTTTAAAAACGAAATTTATTGCCTAGGGTGCGTTGCGTACAACTAACAGCCTCTTCATTTTGACATACTTACAATATCCACTTAAATCACTGTAATTTTGCATCGGAATCAAGTAAAAAGGTGCTAAAATAAGACCGGTCTTTTTTTAAGTGGGGAATAACAGTAATTTAGGCCTGTTTGATAGGGACTGGGGTGTAAATCCCAGGCAATGCTAACTAGCTGTTAGTGACAGAGGGGATGTTTTAATGAGGACCGCAGGAGGGCTTTGTAAAGACACAGCTGTTCTTGTAAATGGGCATCTTCTCTGTTTCTTTGAGATGTGCGCTGAATAGGATGCAGGAAACACTAATTAAATCAGTGGGTGATGAAGGTTTACAGAGAAATGGGCTGTCATTTCTAGCTGAGACATGGATACTTTATCAACATGCTAACTTGCAGGCTAAAGGTTAGAAAAATACATAATCACAAGAATGCTTAACGCTTTGGTAATTGTCCTGCTTAGATTAGAGAGTTTAGCAGAGCGCATTGCAAAACAAGAAGAAAAAAAAAGAAAGAAAATGTGCTGTTATTAAGAAAACTATTTATACAAGATTTGCTAATTACAGGAATGGTACATCCAAAAAATACTTTTTCTGCTATCAATCTCAGCTGTGTTTATATACATTCATAAATGGTGCATCAACATTTTTGCACCACTTTTGATGTCAATGACGATTGCTCACTGAACCAATAATATCTGATCACATATTTTTTTTGTGAATATCATAGTTTCAATTTCATTCTGTTCCTCACACAGAACTTCTGTATAGCTCACAATGGATACGGGACATTTTTTATAGTATTTTGTCCATCTCAGGTTCATTGGACAAACGAAAAACATTTTTGAAAAATGATATTAAGTTGTTTCTTGCATGTTTTGCAACACGTTCAAAGTGAAACATCTAGTGAGAGACACTAAAAGTGCGTTTGGTTTTGTCTAAAACAAATAAACGTGAATCTGGCAACGTTTTACGTATGTATGTATTGTGGCAGTTTGGAAATTAAATGTCTGGTGAGTGGCGCTAAAAGGTAAAGGCTCTATTGCACTTGAAAATACTAAACCCTACTCTAAACCTAAACAAATGTGTTAACAAAAGCAAATATAAGATATAAATTCATTTGCTGAAGTCTTTGAGATCTTTTATCATGACTAATTTCAAGGGACTTGTACCCAAGCAAGCGCTTCACATCACAAGTGCAGTGCTGTACCAGGTGCACAACAGAGCAAGTTTACTACAACAGAAAAGCCATACATATGGAGCTGGTTATGCGATGCAAACATCAAAGTGTATTTGTTTACAAATCATGCACTGTGATAAAAGTGTTTTGAGATCATAACACAGCGCTGGGCAAGGAACCATGTGAAAATAAGTACTTTGCAAACAATAATCCAACCCTGTAATCATAATTTGTGTGAAAAGGATTAAAAGTTGTATTTTACTGCCACTAGTGTTCATGTCAGCTGGAAACTGCAATGAATTACATGAATTGGTACGTTTGTGGAGTTAAGCAAAAATGTAAGTAGGCGCACTGAGCCTGCACGAAAATAACTTCTATTGCTTAACATACAGTAAGCAAGAAAAATATTGGGGTTTCAAAAAACATAAAGGTGATTAAAATATATTATGTGAACTATTTGTTTAAAGAAACCCCAAAACAGTCCACAAAATGCTGTGATTAACTACTCATTAAGAGTACTCGAGTATTCTAGGCAGGCATGTCATAAAAAGCATTCATTTGCAATATGGGTAGGTGCCGTATGGCAACATGATGCTGCTATCTGTGGTTATGAACCATGTATAGTCTAAACAATATTGTGTTCACCTGAAAATGTATTAATAACCCCTGAAGAATGTATTAATAATTCTCAGAAACAAGAAAATGGATAAAAGCACAATGGAGTGACAATTGGCCATGAGTAATTTTAGATTAAAATGTGTTGATGAACTCAAATATATTTAGCTGTGCACAAACACCTACAGGAAAATAATGCACAATAGTAGTTTATAGGGCTGTCAAAAAATAATTCAAATTTCGAATATTCGTCGAATTTAAAATAAAAATCCACATTCTAAACGTTGCATTCGAATTTTAGGTGTGCGTTAAGGAGGCAGCCTTATCAGCGGCGCATGAGATGCGATGGCGATGTAAGTGTCGCTGCATTATAATGTTTTTGTTAGCCTATCCAGTTGAAGCCACTAGAACGCGGCACTGCTGCGTTGTTAATTACAAATATTGCGGGAAAAGAGAACATCAATGCGGAGAAGATCTTTTTTACGTCAAAACTGAAACCAAGCCGTGTTGAAGCCACTAGATGCGGCGCTGCTGCGTTGTTAATTACAAATATTGCGGGAAAAGAGAACATCAATGCGGAGAAGATCTTTTTTACGTCAAAACTGAAACCAAGCCGTTCACAAAGAACACATATTTCGCACATTTTCTAGAGGGATATCTATCAGCATGCACTCGCATCTCGAGTTGAAGCCACTAGAACGCGGCACTGCTGCGTTGTTAATTACAAATATTGCGGGAAAAGAGAACATCAATGCGGAGAAGATCTTGTTTACATCAAAACCGAAACCAAGCCGTTTACACAGAACGCATTTCACATGCATTTTCTAGACGGACATCTATTACGGTTGCACTCGCGTCTCGCACAAGAGAGCCGCATGTTTAGAAAGCCATGTAAAATTAATGCAAGTTTAACTTTGAAAAAACATCTCTCGAGACTTTATGGTGGGTTTTTTTCCCCATCCCACTGCAACTCGTGTTTTTAAATGAAAAATGTAATCTGTGTGATTGGCTTTCGGCCCTTTGTATTAAACTATGAATACATACATGATGCTGTTTTGTTTATAGTTGTTTAAGCAATTTAATTAATTATAATTGGTTTATAAACATTACGCACTTTTTTCCACAGATAGTCATGTTATCTT